GATAATTGGGACCTTCTAGGTTCTGGTGCATATGCATGATCTTATACTCACCACTGCTTGAGTCATAACCTAAACCAAAACGAGAACGTCCATCCCCGGGACATCCCAGAGGGGGAAGTACTATTGATTCTCTTATGGAAGGGTTCCACAGCAAAAATTTGACGCGATCCTTATCACGAATCTCGATAATAGCTAAGCCATTGTAACAACAATGGATCAGGCAACTCCTTGGTTTAAGGGTTGAAGGGCGATCAAGTTTAAGTTTTTGTACATCCTTAACCTGTTGAACCGGCGATAAAGGACAACAATATAGGGAGAACGTAGAATCCTTAGGGCCCCATTGGTAGATAAGAAGCTTTTGGGAATCATGGTCATTCCTGGCACGATTGAGATGCTTCTTTGTAAAATAAGGATCAGATATCAATGTTGTCGAAAATTTGGAAACACATTTGAATCGAACAAGAGACCGCACAGGTAACCTGCTGAGGATGTTAGCAAGTATTTCCTCAGGAAACTGAACCGTGACCTAGATAGAACAAGAAAGACAATTTTTATAAAGTATTCAACATTTGACAAAACGGGTATTCACTAACAAATAATAGAATTGAATATGAGAATACAGAGCAATGTACTCAAAAAGGATATAAAAATTACGGAGATAGCATGCATTATTCCTATTTACCAAAAAACACGCACCTACGGGGGATCTAGGTGGTGTCCACCCGAACCTCCTCAACAAAAAATTATACGTAATTTTTTTATTGACACATACAAATTTTGAATCCATGAACACAAGTTCAAGAGTAGAGCTTGAGTTTCCTAATTCAAATTTAAAGACTATATTTTTATTTTTTGAATCAGAATATAAAAACAATAAATAATACCCTGATCCAGAGATTTTTGAATCACAAATAGTATGTTTAATCAACAACAAATAAGATGAATTTACCGAATCATCAACGTCCAGGTGATCAATTGAGGGGGGGTTCTTCTTCCCTAATTTAAGTAAAAAATTGTTGTTGGTTATAAAGGACAATAGAGCAGAAAAGATAAAATTAGCCTTTCCCTTCGTCTTCTGTTTCTTACAACACGAACTCTCTGCTAATTTTCCATCATTCTTCCTTTTCTGCGCCATCGCAACACTTGATTTCGATTTTCTAGGGTATCTATGGATATATATTATATATATATGTTAGTAGTAATTCACCGCTGGCGCTTATATTCCTACTAGATAATGAAAGGCCCGTTACGGGCCCAATATTACAATTTAATAGAAATTTATAATAGAAATTTAATTAGTTTTCGGGGAAAAAAATTATTATGATATTTTCAAATAAACAGGATAGGAAAGAATAATAAAATATCACACGATTCAGTGATTTTTTAACATCATGTCAAACATATATATTTGAATTAAATAATTAAATTAATGATATTTTTCTATTTTATATAAAAATTATTCAAGAGAAAAGATTAAAATTATGAGTGTCAATATATTAACAATTTTCATAAACTATATAAAGCAATAAAGTCTGATGATCCATCTATAGATTAATTTTAAATATACTTAAAATTTGTTTTATAGGTGTTTAACAAACAAAAATAATGACCTACTTGATGAAAATTAGAATGAATTATCTCATTCTTTACAAAGTGATAAAGGATGAAAAAAAAGTTTTGACTTTATGTCTTGTCTTTATGTTCATTTAAATTAGGAGAACAATTTAGTGTAGTAGACAAATAATTTTACCTTATGAATGAATATTTTACCTCAAATAAAAAGGATTGAAGAATATTAACAAAAGTTAACTTCAAAACAAAAAGGGCACATCCGATTGACCATTTAGGGAATTAGTTTGGGTTGGTCATTTTTAGATAATTAATTTAGTTTTAAGGTCTATTTGTGTATTTTTTTTTCAAAATTTAAATCATACTGTGGATCATTCTCACGAATACCCTTATTTAGGGTGGTTTAATTCTTGTTTCTCAATATTTTATTTAAGTGAAAAGAGTCGTTGGTAAAAATTTTCCTAACATTAAATTATAGGAAGTTCTATGGATAGTTTTTTTTTTTTGGTGAAGTCTATGGATAGTTTATCTTAATGGATAATAGAAATTTTAACATTTATTTATTTTTATTGGTAAAATGAATATATAGTTATAATATAATATGTATTGTTTTATTATTTGTATTAATTTAATGAAAAGATGGCATATAGTTTCAAATTATGCAATTTTCCGTATTATAATTATGCATTTTTTATTGTCAATTTTTTCCTAGATTTTAATTAATTTATCTTTCTGATCACCAATAAGTTATATGATCAAAACATGATTAATGTATTAATTTGTATTTTTCTATTCTTATTAGAGATAAAAGAATAATAATATTAAGTGTTAATTGATAACTTGAAAAATAAAATAGGTCATATACTATAATAATTAAATTTTGATTTGATTAATCTTAAAGAGGAAAACATTCTATTGTAAATGAGATTCAAAGAATATATATTTTTTTCAATTTTAATTAGGAGGATTTTAAAATTATACTTGAGGAATTATTATTTCAAAATTTTGTGAGCATTCTGAGTTTACTTTATTACTTCATTTGTACATTTTATTTATCATACTGATTTTTTTACAATCTTTAAAACAATTTATTCAAAATTATTTTTATTTATTATTTAATTTTAATTTATTACTAATTTGTTTTTTTACCATGCATTATTTTTTTTAGCAAAATACATCAATTAGATTAAACTTTATTCTAATTTTAGGAAAGATAAAAAATAATAATAATAATAAAAAAAGAATGGTCTTGATTGTACTCTACTTTTACAAGAGATGGGTCCCACTTTTTAGAGGTAATAGATTCTTCTAGTAAGTTGCCTGGTTTTTTGGAAAATTCAAGAACTCCTCTGCATTATGTACAACTGCTTTAAGCTGAGATTTTTATTAAATTGATGAAATTGCCCTTGGTCGTCCTCCTCATCACATTTCTATATAATAGAAATTTTTATTTCGATCGGATCGGGTCGGGTCGGATTCTTCCCAATTTGATTTGGTAAAAAATATTGCAATATTAAAGTAACATCAACATATTTAATGCTACAAATATTATTGAAATATAATACAGTTAATTGATAAATTAATATAGAATTTGAAGTTTGACAATAACAAATTCCGATGCTACAAAATATTTTCTTACACCCTCATTCATATTAAACAACACAATTATTTTTGAAAATTTCCTGAAAATAATTATTCTCTTACTTTATAAACTTTCTTTTTCCTTTGAAAAGAAAGAAAAAAAAAAAGTAACACGTTACGTTGATTTTCAAATGGACAATTGGCGCATCAAACATAAAACTTAGGAATTCATGGACAATAATTAGTAATTATTTTTAGTTATTTTCTTTTTCTTTTCTTGACTTTTTCTATTATTATATATAGAAAAGTCTTGAATGGAATGATCAAGGGCAAACATGTCTTTTTCATCTAATTTACATCTAGAGTACGGAATCTATTTGAGCCATACAGAGATAAACTTGATTCAAATAAATCGCAATTCTAGAAAGTAACTAAAATAACAACGGTCATTAATTTGTTAACGTCTATATTTAAACATAAAACGAAATTGCTTTGATCATTTTATAAAATGTAATTTTTTCTTACACTCACTGAGAGCGCCATATTCAGGTACTTCAAGCATGTCAATGCAAGCCATTGTATGGAACTCTTGTTTCTCAGTGGATCAACAGGTTGACTAGTGTTAGTTAGGTTGTTCTTTACTCGAGGAGGAAAGTTATCGAACGTTGCCTGTAATATCGAACTTACCTAAAAAACAAAATGCAAAATTTCTTATGCATTGAAGATGTTATGTTACCAATTTCATTGTATTATTTGCTGGTCCAGCTTGATTTCCTTTCTGTAAGGAAATAGATGATATTGATTTGTCTGACTGAAGGAAGACAGCTCCTGAAACTTGTGTTCGCGGATAAGATTAGTGTATATCATATTCTTTTCAGATTCTACTTATGAAATTACATCGAGAATATTTTTGTGACAACTAACAAAAGAGACTAATGTCAGTTAACTGGAGTACAATTCTTCTCCCTAGTCCAAATTTCAATTAAATGGTACCTTCAAAAAAGGGCTATTAAATAATTGAAATGTTTGAATCATTTTTTATGTCGAGTGATTTTCAAATTTTATGATCTTAAACTAAACATACGTGTATCAAAATGTCTTTAAAACAACCAAATTGAAAAGGAGAAACAATACATCAGGTCGCAATTATTAAGAAATTTGAGTAATATATATCAAACTACATTACCCTTTTCAAGTTGTACTCTATACCTCTTAAGGCTCTAACTCCTACTCAACGAGGACTATTAACTCGTTTGTCGTACCTCTTATTTCGTTCGAGTTGAATTACATTCTTCCTCTGAGGGGTGTAAAAATTGGTTACTATCTCGAAAAAATCCATATCGTCCATCCAAATTATCTCAATTATAGCCAACTCCCCCTCCCTTGTCTTTTTCCCTATCGAAAAACTGCTTCATAATGTATTGAATCATATTATATTATTTTAATGAATATAATATTATAATGAATTGTATCGTTTTCCTTTGATACACACAATCAAACATCAATAATCTAAATAATAAACCTAAAAAATAATAATTAGAGTACGAAAGTAAAATTACTATTAAAAGGTGGATTAAAGAATAAAATATAATACTAATAAATAAAAACAAAATTTAAAAAATGACACGATTACACCAAATCTTTCCTAACATAATATGAATTTTTTCGTTATTTACGTAATGATAAATTTAGTAAATTGAATCCGAGGCGGATTCGGGATTTCGAAAAAATTAAAGGAACAGTAATCAAAATAACGACGAAAAAAAGGAAAGAAGGAAAAGTATTTTTTCCTTTTCTATCTTGGTTTGGTTTCAACATCTAAAATATAGTACAGACAAAAACCTAATTCTCTTGCCTATAATACTACATTAAATAGCCTTATACAATTGTTGTTGAAACCTATCAACGGGCCGAAGGAAGCTTCAAATTTTCTACTTTGATCTGTAAGTTATTCGATTTTGCATTTGTTCTTTTTTATGATATAGTACTCACTATGGGTGTTTAAAGGAAGAGATGAACTTTTTTTCTTGTGGGGTGTTCTTTAATTTGCTAATTGATGAAGAATTTAAGCTAAAAATTGGTTTGTGAGAAATGGGTTTTTTGTTATATCTTGGTGGGTATTGGTTGATAATTGATAGAGAATTTGAGGTCAAAATTGGTTTTTGAGAAGTGGCTATTGGTTGATTGTTAGCAAATGATAGAGAATTTGAGCTAAAAATGGTTTTTGAGAAGTGCTTTTGTTATATCTTGGTGGGAATTGGTTGATTGTTAGATAAATGATTGAGAATTTGAGCTAAAAATTGGTTTTTGTTATATATTGGTGGGTATTGGTTGATTGTTAGATAATTGATTGAGAATGTGAGCTAAAAATTGGGTTTTGAGAAGTGGGGTTTTGTTATATCTTGGTGTGCCTTGGTTGATTGTTAGCTAATTGATGGTGAATTTGAACTAAAAAGTGGTTTTTGAGAAGTGGGATTCGGTTATATCTAGGTGGATATTGGTTATCGATTGAACACTTGATTTTTTGGTTATCTAGGTGGATATTGATTTCTCGAGGTCAAATAGAATCTTGGTTGGGGAATCTTAGTAGCTCAGTTGGTTGGTTTACCGAACTTTCACCTTGTCGCCTATCGGTGAGGGTTCGATTCCCCATCTGCTAATCCTCTACCTTAATTATTTTTTAAAAAGTTCGAATCTTGGTTTTTCTATTCCTCTTTCAATTTTACAGGCTCTAGATTTGCATTGATAGGAAAAAGAATTTCAAGAATGTAATGTAAAATGATACTCCCTGCAATTCAATTTGTGGTTGGTTTTGACTTTGACATGGAGTTTAAGAAAATAAAGATTTTTTTTGAATTGTGTGGTCTTAAACTAAAGATATGTAGGATGTACTAAAATCCCCTTTCATCTTGTGATTTTAAATGTGTCATGTGGAAAGCTAGAATTAAAGTGTTGCTAAAAAAAGGAAAGAGACTTTTTTTTGGAACCGTCTAAAAAGGAAAGTAGGACAAAAAGTGAAACCGAGGGAGTACTATTTTAGAATCAGTAGTGGTTTCCTGAATTTGGAATGTCTTTGTTGTTTAATTAGGTAATGTATATTATTGGGAGAAAGGGAAAACCTTGTATTTAAGGTGTAAACAAAATAGAAAGCCTCTTTTTGGGTTACTTTGCCCTCAGAAAGTTCTCGAAATCGAGAACGATTCTCAGTGTATTACTGTTTTTTTCCAGTGTAGCAGCTTGTAGGCAAAGGCGGATGCAGAGTGCAGATACTGGGCTCATATAAATCTAGTACTTCTCACACAAAGTATAAATTTATATGTGAATATCCACTAAAATTGCAATGAATAGTGGATATGAACCCATATCTTTAAAAATATAATGAGTATTCAATTCTAAGAACTTAAATTTTGAACCCATAAAGCTTAAATCCTGGATATGCCCCTGCTTATAGGTGAATCTTGAAAACGCTGGAACAATAGAATTAACATTGCTGAATCCTATGTTGGTCAGACTCTTCATAAATGGCAGTGCTTGTCGGACCCTTCAAAAGAAGTGCATTTGGATCTGACATGGGTGCGGTAACATTTTTGGAGAGTCCGAGCAACTTAGGCTGAATCAGTGTCCTTGTTGCGTGACGCCTGCAGTATATTTTATCTGCATAGTTTTTGCAAATTTACAAAATGGAGTAAGAATTAAGGATGTTAATTGATGGTTACCTACTTCATTCTGCAGGTTGCATAAATCTCAACTTCAAATTGGCTTATTAGTGGACATGATCTATGTTCAAGTAAGATATTTATATACAGGAAAATTATAAACTATATTCCCTTTTTTTTTTCTTTTTTCTTAGGGAAGTATTTAATTACATTGAAATTTCTTTCTCTGACCATAACTTGCATCTTATTGGCTACCTGTTATTTCTAATTGTTGTGTCAAGAATGATATGTTCTGAGAAGATAATAAAATAAAATGAAGCTGCAAATCAAATTTATGAAAATCTAAAGAAAAATGTAATGATAACAAACGGAATCATGTCAATTGCTACTCTAGTGGAGTTTCTTACTGGTGATGTATGGAGACTAATTTATGCTCAAAAGGAATGAGCAAGACTGATTACTATTTCTCGGACTGTTAACCGGTTAAACAGTTTTTATCTACACTTCCATTTTTTGGGGATTCATCCATATTGCTGACATGGTAGTTTACTTCAAAAGGATGTGGCAGGCACTTGTTGTTTCTGAATTTACTGTGTCCAGTTTGATTTTCCAAAGTATGCTATAAACATACTCCTCTCGAGCTATAGAAAAGACAACTGCTTCGGTCTGGTTTGAGGTTATACTTGATCAGGCCTTTTATGGAGTCTAATGCTTTGATGGATTGAAACCTGAAATCCTTTGTATGTTGTGGTAGACTGATGATTTCAACTATATATTTTTCTTCTATATGGTGAGGTTGGGGGCCTTTTTTATCTACTTTGAATTGTTCTCCTTCGAGCCGAAGGTCTATTAAAAACATCCTCTCTACCCCAAGTACCCTACCCTCCCCAGACACCACTTTGTGTAATATGTTCTTGTTGTTATATGGTGGGGTTGGGAAGAGCCGAAGAGGCTAATGTTGGGTCTCACTGTAGTTTCTGTTTTCTTTTGTATCTTTGATAAGTTGATTTTAGTTCATAATCCCTTCTGGTTCCCGTCATCAGCTTGTTGGGTATGTGATAATCAGAGTCTATTTTCACGTCTTATTAGCAATATCCTTGCGGAAGTGTCTTTACATCAAGTGTAATTCATGTTACGTTAATCTGCTAAAGTGGAAACAGAAAAACCCATCTGAGGGTACTTAGCTGATATAACCAAACCATATCTATTGAAGGGGGCATATAAATGCAGCAACTAAAAAGTTGTAAAAACCATGCCTCAGTTAGCATGACTTTTTGTGAAATATGAACAATTGTGAGCTTTCTTTGTGAATTTATTATAATGTCTATGCAAGCAGTTCATTCCTTATTTTCAAATCTGTCACTGCCTGTGGTTTTGCCTCGGTATCTTATTATCTTGCTGTTGTTTCTGTTTGTTGCTATTGCCTCTTTTTCACTGTTTGGTCAGCTGAGGGTCTTTTGGAAACAACCTTTTTACCTTCTCAAAGGTAGGGGTAAGGTTTGGATACACGCTACCCTCCTCATATCCCACATGTAGGATTACACTGGATTTGTTGTTGCAAGCTGTTCATTTCTGTTGCTGACCTCTGAGAATCTGTGCCTCATAAATTTCCATTTAGTTCGAGGATTCCTTCCATATCACAACTCCACCGTCAACCTTAGTAGGAAAGAACTTACGGCACTTGACAGACAGCTTGTAATTCAACCCACTACACATTCCATTGGGTTGCTTGGAAGGATGAAGAAGTGGTTACAAATTTACATACACTTATCAATTCTAAGTTGCTCGGACTCGAGCGCAGGTGTCCGATATGGTTGTGAATCTAGAGGACAGATTCTTCATGATCTGAATTTTAAAGTTTGGGGATATGGATCTAGTTATGGATACAAATTCGGGGATTTGGCTAAAACTAATTCAAAAATCTAAAAATAGAGTTATAAAACCTAAATTTAAGAAATATTTCGCGGACAACTTGAGGAGAAAATAGTGATAGGTGGAAAATCTTGAAATGATACTGTTAGAATAGGAATAGGAACAAGAATAATATATACAAATCCTACTTAGAAAATTTTTTATTTTTTTTTATAACCGAGAAATCCGTCTGTGACCCGCCCATTGGACCAATAATAGCCTTCTAAACTCGGTGGATAATGGGCCCGCCCCTCTACCCTTCTCCACTTAAATACCGGGCTTCGCTTTGCATGGTGTGGGGCTTGAACCTGCGACCCGAGCCACAAGTCCTCCACCTTTTGCCACTTCAGCTAAGCCTTGGGGGTGAATAGGAATATAATTAGGAATAGTAAATAGAATTCTACTTGAAAAAGGATTGTATTGTAGTGTCCTAGTTGGAAAAGGAATCTAATGTAGGGTCTATGAATAGGGTAATAATGTAGATACACAATTCAATAGTATTTTTCTCTTCTACAAGGTTAGTAGGTAGTCGAGCGCTTTGCTTTCCCATTCCCAGATTATTAGTATTAGTCTTTTATTTTCGTAGTCTTAGATTTCTATTTGTTTCTATTGATTCTTTAACATCGATTATTGTACTTTCTTGTTGTTGTTCCTGCTTGTTGCTATTGTCGTCTTTTTCATCTGTTTTGGGCCGAGGGTCAATCAAAAACAGGCTCTCTACCTTTTCAAGATAGGGTAAGATCTGTATACACACTACCCTCCCCAGACCTCACTTGTTGTTGTAGTTGTTACTACAACTGTTTTTGACTATGATTATTGACCTTTTCTGGCACAAGCTAGATCCAGAAGCATTTCCTAGCTTTTTACCCGTTGAATTGTTGCCCCTCACGTAGTATATAATTATTAAACCACTAATATTTATCGAAGTGGATGAACCGTCCCTAGAAATCTGGTTAACTTACTCATCATATAGAATACACTCCCCAATTTCTGACTCCTGATTATTTATCTGAACAAACTCTCATTGTTTTCTTGCCCCAGCAGTGATGATGAACCGTTGGCTTTCAAAAAAATGCATGAATTTTCCACAGTGGACGGCTTTGTAGAGATAACTGAATCCTTGGCGGACATGATAAAGTTCATTGCAAATGAGCCCTCTGTTGGGCTTTTCTATATTCAACAGCATTCCCAGAAAGCAGCGCCCAACCTTGTAAATCTCAAAAACAGTATTGAGGAAAAATCCCGTGAAATGGCACTTCACACGGAAGATTCAGATGATTCCATCACCGTGATCAGGTCGATGAAAGAGTGTGGACTTCCAATTGCTAATGGTATGATCAAAGATCTCAGGCATACCCTGGCTGTCATTTCAAAGAAACAACCAAAGAAGGGATTAATTAGCGGACCCAGTTCAAGTTTCCCAGTTGGTATAGCTACCTCTTGGAGTCCTTCCACCTGGGTTCGCAATACTGTTTCAGAAGAGGATGATAAGAGGACAGCTGGATATCTCTCGAATGTTTTTCAGTCCGCAAAACAAAAGGCTAGTAACTTCAAATGGCCTCAGTTAGAGACCGAAGAAACTCAGCCAGCCAAGAGTGAACCATCTTCATCAGACAAGGATGAACCATCTGTGACTCGTACTAATGACGCGCTATTAGCTGCCGATGTGAGCTCTTCGTCCTCACTTGGACGGGCCAATAGTGAAGACCAACAAGAACAGGTAAACAAAAGCATGTCCTATGATCAACTGCTGTCTTTAACTGAAAACTTTGATGAATTCAAAGCTGATAAAGAAGCGAAACTAGAAGAGTGGTTGGGAGGGACATTGAAATCATAATGCCGGTCCAGAGAATAAGGAAAGCTGAAGTCCTTTAGCTCGATTGAACTCTTAAACATCGACGATACTTTTCTTATGAAGGAAACTCTCTTCCTGTATCATGATTTATGTACTTTATTATACTAGATGAAAAATGTACAAGTGAGAGTTCATTGTATAAGTGGAGTGTGTAAAGTTGTCTCCGTGTGACCTATAGGTTGCTCTGGATAAGCTGTCTACAGCACACCCTTTAGAGGTGCTGCCCTTTCCCCCAGACCCTGCGTGAATACAGGGTACTCAATGCATCGGACTGCCTTTTTTTTGTCCTAGTTGTGTTTGTACATTGAGGAATTTATTGACTGTAAACTGCTTTAGCTTATTATTATTGTGTTCTGAATAATCAGTTTCATGGTCCAAATATGAAACCAAATAATACTAAGGGGTCATTTGGTTCGTATTCTAGTTATTTGAATATTTGAGTTAGCGCGTTAGAGTACTTCCTCCGTCTTTATTTACTTGTCCACAATTGACTAATTAATCACTATCGCATTTAACGATCACTTAACCTTTTAATTGAGAAGAAAAAATTACTATCTCATTTTGTGCTCTTTGACGAATTTGTAAATACTATTTTCAAACCTATTAAGTTAATAAAAACTTCATATTTTTTTCTTTCAACATGACATTAGAAATCATAAAACTTCTTTTCAATTTTTCTGTGAGGAGGAGAGAGGGGACATCACTATGGATATTTTGGTAGCTAGTTAGAGTTATGCAATCCACATTTTACTTACAACCGACAACCATATTTGTTAGAAAAATGCTCAATACAACTCTGTAAATAAGAAATTTCATTCACTCTAAAACTATCATCAAGCCAAGTAAATAATTTTCATGATCAAACGAGCCTATTTTATTCTTCAGTAAATCTTTACTGCTTTTAGATACAAAAAAAAAATAGCAACTAAAACTACTAAGGTTAGTGAACTCCTAAAAATTGCACTATATATATACAATGGGATTGAAATCCCAAGAGGATGCATGCCTTTAAGTTACCCAGCAGTATAACTTGCACACTAGACAGAACAACTGCAGACGGCAGTATTATAAGATGGAGAATCAAGAGAGCTTTTTCTTGGCTTAGTCGTTCAACCTCCGGTTCTCAGTTGTAACATATGCATAGCGCTTGAAGACGAGGAGTAAGGAGAAAGATGTCAAGACGACAATCACATCCTAGATTCCCTGTTGAGCACCATTGTTGTGAAAGGTGTCAAGCTGAAAATCACATCCTAGATCCTCCGTCAAGCACCATAGTTGCGAAAGGCGTCAAGCTGTCAATCACATTCTATATTCCCCATCAAGCATCATACTTTCCATATCCCCATCACCTGCAAACCGGCGTATAAAGGTCAACAATCAGTGAATCAGATAGATGGTAAATTGCAGTGTTTCGTCCTCAAGGCAGCTATATTTACAAGAACTACAATGAAATTTAGGTAGGTTCTTGATAGTCCAGTAATACATTCTACGTATGCTAGTTTGCTATACGAAAAATGCCATAACAAATCTAAGGAGCATAGTAGGAGAATGGCATGAAGATAAATTATGTATAACAGGCAAGTAAAGAAAAGTGTCTGCTACCATAATATACCTGATGTATGCTGACTAGCCAAATTTCCAGTAGTAGGCGGAGCACATGTATCCGTGCTATCATCATATGTACTTCTGGGATATATAGGCCCATCACTATTGCTTCCTGTGTTCCCTCCAACATTTAAAAGCGGAGCGGTAGAACTACCAAAATTACCCTCAAACTTGTCACCAATGCTTGCATTGTGAAGCAAGTGTACAGAACTGCCCACTGATTTTGACCCCATGTCGTCATTTACTCTAATATTCAAACTTGGAGAAGCTACAGATCCAATAGCGCAAATTGGTTTAGGTTCCAAGTCAACATTTGTCAGATGTATCGTGGTAGTGCTGCTGCCAACTGCTTTAATCCTGCTGCTAGAAGCAGGGGAAGAAGTGGTTCTATTGCTTCCGCTTACAACTTTAGCCTTCCTGAAACAATTCAAAAACAGCATCCAGAGAAAGCTGAGATTCACTCCCAACAAGAAAAGAAACGAACAAACTAGAGATAAAGAGAAAGAGGGTGGGTGCTCATACCTAACTATTTTTCGCTTGAGAGTGGTGTCTTTTGACTTCATGACACCTATTTAAGGAAGATTCTTTAGGCTTAAATTGATACGTGCCACAGTTTCTAAAAAGGAACAAATGAAGCTACTTGCTCTTTCCTCTATATTGAGAGAGGGAGGGAGAACGAAATAAATAAATAGACAAATAAATTTATTTATATATAAATATTATATATATATATATATATATATATAGAGAGAGAGAGAGAGAGAAAGGATGACATACCAGATTTAAGTGTACCCGGTTTGCGCCTTCCTCTCTCAGCCTTAACTGAAGCAATTATAGAATCAACAGATGGACCCAAACCTTTTCTACCAACCAGTTTCACCCCAAGCTTCTCAGAAAGGAAATTCAGCCTCATCTCATCACCACCTCTGACCTCTCTAAGGTCAAGGGCTTGTTGCTTGGATAACAAAGTATAAACATGAAGCTCATGCTGGTTATTAAATTGGGACTGAAGCTGCTGAAAGAGTAATTTATTAGAAAGATGTCGACCAGGTCTTATTCCATCATGATTCCGTGTTTGGGGCCCACAGAAAGTCACTCGCAAAATTGCTGGTGACTCGAGATCAGAACTCTTTCTAGCAAAAATTATAGAGAAACTACCAAATTCCAAGTCTGGCTCCCTAAATAAGTCATCCAAAACAGAAGCATAATAATGAGTGCTCTTTGATGGTTTTTTCTCAATCTTCAGACTCATGGTTCTAGCCTTAGCATGGTGGGCAATGTTCGCAGCTTCTCTAAGCCCACTAAGAAAAGCTCCGTGCATAGTGGCTGGATAGCGCCTATTTGTGGCCTCACCAGCAAAGAAAAGTCTACCATCACCCACACTTTCTGCTAATATATCATAGTCATCTCCTGATGCCCCCACTGCAACATTAGAGTAAGAACCCAAGCTGAAAGGATCACTTCCCCATCTCGTACATACAGTTTGGATTGGCTCTGGCACTTCAATTCCTTGTGGTTCATATATACCTGAAGCAATGTCCAAAATTCCCATTACTACATCAGAAGCAAGAACCTTAACAGCAAGCTCCATGTAACAAGAATGCCTTTTGAAAAGGGCACAATGTTTTATCTTTTACTGAGATAGAGAGATACGTAACCACATATTTCTATAAAATGCAAAATACTGAAAACGATTGATGAACTCAAGCATAGAGTCTAAGAAGAAAAGAAGATTCTTTTTTCAAGGTGGTAAAAAAGTAAGTGGCAGTATGGCAGAAAAGACGCATGTTCTGCAACATATTATGAGAGTTAAGTGGGTTATACACTTTGAGGGATATGTCATTAAAAAATTACATTTTAAAGGACACTTTATTGGTTGGAGCAAGGAGAAAGAGGAAAGGCAGCTTAGAACACTTCGGAACACTGTCCTTGTATGCATATTCAGATAGCTTGTGAAGAGGGGATCACTGGAAGTTTTGTAGAAAAAAGAAGACACACTACATTGTACGAAGTATCCCGCATTAGTAGGGTCGGGGAAGGCAAGGGAGTATTGAAGTTTATTAAAGAGCTAGCTCACAATCAATATGTTTGTCCCCCGGGTGCTGAAGTACAAAGTGCAATGGAACTCCATCTGAACCCTAGATTAGAATCACAAGTAAGAAATTTAAAGGTAAGTTAGCTCAAGCTTTAATGATCAGGACATTTGACAAACTTTATCATTCTCGGAAGTCAGTCTTCAAGTAACCATACAATGTGAAAGTGCATCTTTTCACATACCAGCAATTACACCCAGGATAAGGAGGAATCATCATTTATATAACTAATTGATTTATATGAAACAATATCATATCTATAACATTTTTAGAAATTTATCTTTTTGGTTTGATAATGAAGAGAGTTCAGATCATATTGTTTATTTTTTGTAATGAATTGATTGCTCTTTTTCATGTGAACTACTTTTGTTTTTACATGTTTTCTTTTAATTTAAGCCATTGAGCCCACAAACAGTAGGATTATTCGACAATTCTTCATAGTCCACCTTTTATGAAGTATCAGCCTAGTGAAAAACTGACTCAAAATTGAGAGCATTGACCATAAAACAGCCACATCACTGTTACTCAGTATCTCTTCTTACCAAGTGAAAATGGCATTATCTCCATTAAAAATTGTTTTTTCTGCTTACCAAATTAGTGTTCTTTTCTTCTTGTTATATGCTGATTGGTATCTTATACAACAGACTCAGAAATTAAGCTTCAGGATTAAGTCAGTCAGTAGCAACAAAAAATGCATTTTACCTTTTAGAATTTGAAGAACTTTTGTCACTGCATCAGTCGGAGGCATGGTCTCAAACTTGTGTGCAGCTTCTCCAGCAACTAGAGCTAACAATAAGGGACCGCCGGCAACAGTTGCATAACTGTAGAACAAAAAGAATTCACCCCTGCTACTAGAATTATCAGTAAGATGCCCAAAGGTATCGAGATCAGTGCCCCAGAATACATATGGGAAAAGCATTGCAACCTTATTTAATAATCCAAATCCCAATCTTTTTATTCCATCAAGCTTCCGTTGAGGCAATTCTGGCATGAATTTAATAGAACCACCTTTCAGAACTCCAAGAGGAACAGTGCACAGCACCATATCTCCCTCAAATACTTGGGCCCCAGCGCCAACCTGTACTCCATCGGTACCATAACGAATGGTATGCACAATTTTTTCATAAAGAATAGGTACATTTTCAGTCAATGCATGAACTAGTTTTCCATTTCCTCCGGGCAGGAAGCAATGATCCCCTCCCATGTCAAAGGGGTCATCTTGGTCCCAAAATGCTAAGGAAAGTTTAGAAATCAGACCTGCGTTTGCATATTCCAAATTTGCTAGATGCCAATTAAACAAACTCATCTCCTCTTCATTCACGGCATCTTCATAATCCTGACGGAAAGTCTCCAATGCTGCTCCAAGAGAAACATCCTGAGAAACTTCTCCCATTAACTGCCTAAGCTTGCTTGCCTTCTCCAAAAGTAAATTATAAGCAGTCTCCACCTTGTGATCTAAATCTTGATCAACTGGCTTCCCATCCACACGATAAAGAGGGCATTTGTCTCTGACCTTGTGAAGTGTGCAAGACAGCTGCCGTGCCAAAATACCTAGTGGGTTCCCTAGCGTACCCGTCAACACACTCCCTCCTAAATCAGCAGCAGCTACCTTATTTCCACCTTCCATTTTTTTTGAGTACACCCTTCCACCAGCACGTTTTCTTCCCTCCAAAACTGTAACCTTAAACCCAAACAACATCAACTGCCGCGCTGCAGCTAACCCTGCAAGTCCTGCCCCAATAATGATAACACTAGGCTTACTCGGCTCAGCTGGAATCCTATCCTTAATAGCCGGCACAACTCCAAAATTAATATACCCACGCGATACCAAATAATTATGAGCAGAATCCAGCAAAGCATTACAATGCTTAGGTATAACATCAAAAAACATCTCTTTCGTTATCCAAGTCGACACATTTACACGCCATTTCATAAGTATATGGTTTCTAATAAGAATATAATTAACCTGTTCAATACCACCCACTACAGAAACAACCTCAGCTTCAATTTCCTCATCAGTTAAAGAATCAGCTGGAAACCCCGCAGTTAAAGCAATTAATGCCTCCGTCGTTGCCTCTTTGTTAATTACAATAATCTCATCCGAAGCATCAAAAGAAGCAGTATTTTTTCTAGCAGTCAAATTACGCACAAGATTCGAATTTTCCACAAGGGTTTTGCTAAACTGAACAAAAGAAGGCTACTATAAATTACCATTAGCATTAAAACGAATTAAGGGAAATTGTCATACATATATATACCTGGTCCAACGACGACGTCGTCGTACTCCGAGGTCTACCTCGTCTCCGTTTCGTCGGAATGGAGAGGGACAGAAGCTGGTCTGAAATTGAATCGGAATGAGGATTCGGGTTCGGGTTTGGGTTCGGGTCATGGCTAGGGTTTGAATTTGGAATTGAAGTGAAATTGGGAGTAGAATTGGGCAAATGAATGGTGAATTGAAGGGGATTGTTACTAGTAATATAAGGTAAAGATTGTTGAGAAGAAGGATTGTTATCTGAAGGATCCATGGCTGTTTTTTCTTCACTTTTTTCTGCAACTGTTACAGTAATCTGGAGAAGTGGGGAAGATGAAGAAAAAGAACTATCGCTGCAAATTAAGAATTCAAACCCGAAATCTCTAGGCCAAGTTCGGAATTCAAACCCAAAATTTCTAAGACAATTTCGTACTTAAAAAACTCGAACTCGATATTTCTATTATGTCTTTAATTTTTTTTTCAATATTATAATACCGTTTATTGTGAGATGAATCAAAATATGATTTTTTTATTTTTATAGGCGAGATTAATTATACTTTATAATTGACAATTCTTGCTAAATAAGAAATTATTAAATTGATTTAGATTCGTTAGTAGTGTGTTGACGATCGTTTTTTCCAAGAAATAAGGTTTCCTCCAAATTTATTATTTTTTGGATAAATTTGCTAATCGATTGTTTTTTAACACTCTATTATTAATTGAGCGATTAATTTTCAAGTTCTCGCTTCTAACTTAAAAGAACACATGATCAAGTTAAATTTTGTTATTGTATTTGCTAATGCTAAATTTTAAATTTCATCAAAAAATTTAACTTACCAATACTGCAATACATAGTGTGGACAAGCAAAAGCATATGAAATTAATTTGGATGTCCGAAAATCATATGATAGTGTTGTATGTATATCGATAGTATTCATTGATCGATGCCATGAATTATGTTATAAATTTGTTTTTGATGTAAAGAAATATGTAAATCTCCTAAATTAATATTTACATAATTCAAATACAACAGTATTGATGAAAATATCTAATAATGTTTAGAATGATTCATAGTTGTCAGATTATAATTTCGGATAACGTAAAATTGAATTATTTAAGAGTGAATTTAAATGAATCTTCAAAATTATAAATGAGATTTGTAAATTCTGATTGCTCCATCTAACCTATTGTATGCCCAAGCTGAACTTACTATTCTTGTTCCTTATTACGAAACAAAATGACTTTATATGACAGTAATTAAATATAGTGTTTAGATAGATTAGATGAATTTTCGCCGTTACAAAATGTTACATATTCATAATTTGAATGATAAATCTATAAGAAAAGTAAGAGAGTTATTATGAAAAGGTAGGATAAAAGATGAAATATGATTATTAAATACAAACAAAATATTAAGGTAACGACGCGATCACACCAAATTGATCATTACATAAAATGAGTTTTTTTGTCGTTATCGAACGATAAATTTAAACTATACGATACAACAAAATTTAAATAACAATCAAAACAAATATTTTATTTAAACTAATAATATAATACAATACAATACAATGGATAACAACCATCCAAACAAGGTGCTAGTCTCCTTGTTTAAATAATCAACAAATCGAATTGAAATTTCAAGATTTAAACACAGTTACAAAAAAGTTGGTCTTTTTGCAATAATTCAATTTTTATTTAAAAAAAAAAAACTTTTTTAGACAACGAAACAAAAAAAAAAAAGAATCCTACATGTGAAAAAAATAATCTCCATAACGTAGAATCTTAGTTGGTTTTGGATTCTTAAATATTTTAAAAAATTATGAATAAGGAAATATTTAATAATTAAAAAAATTAGTTGATTTTTACGTCCTAAATAAATATTAAAAAATACTAATTAGCAATTTTATCTATGGTAGATTCCGTTAACAAATTAGTTCATCTATATATATATTTGAGCCTTTATAATGTATATTGGGGGTCTTTCATTATCTAGTAATAAATAACTAAAATTATAAATTATAATGTTGTTTTTTAATAGTATATTTTTGTTATTTCAATTAACCCTATTTTTCTTTTACCTTTCCCAATTAGTTTCAGGATGCTAAGTTAAGTTGGTCTAGGATTTGCTTCTCAACTATATAACAAGACCACTAGGTTGACATCTTTCTACCTTAATTTATCTCGTTGGCAAAAATAGATCATGAATTAGTATTTTATGGTTTATTATTGCTTTTATCTATTTAGTTTGAAGCCTTAATAGGGTTTTTTATATTTATCATTGTTTTCAATAATCTATCCTAGTATGTCGTTAATTATATATGTTTCGATTGTTGTTGATGTTTCATGTTGTTCTTTGTTAAGTCCTTCTGTTAAAACCCATGATAAACCATGCACCCCACAAAAACGCGAATGTACTGGGACTCAAGTCTCATACCTTGCAATGAATTGGATCATAACAAGTTCACATACTCCTATATTAGGTGGAAAAGTCAAGATTACACCTATCATACAAGAAATATAAAATATCATAAGCAGCTAACTCCATAATACCAGAAGTTAGTTAATGAACCAGTAAGCCGTTAACTTGGCTTCAACAGACATTTATTATGTCCTTCAACTTTGGATACATATTAACAGATAGTTAAACTTGTATAAAATTATTATTTATTTATTTTAATCAAAGACCCCAGTGCCATTTTATTAAAACAAATGAATATATATGTACAATTAGTGGCCCAACTTATATAAAATTAAATAAGTAAGCCGGACAATATTTTAATAGTTAATTTCTCTATTGAAATTAGAAATGTACGGACTACAATTAGAAACATACAGCTAATACTAATGACAGGATTATAAATTTACACCAATGATAAACATATACCAAAGAAAAAAGTAAAAACTAAAGAATCCTATACAAAGCTAATAGGTTGATAAATAAATTAACCAAAAGTATCCCACTTTTAACTTATTTCTACGCCACTTTTAGACTTTTAGTAGTCCTAAACCAAAAGTGTTTCCAGATATAAAGAAATTTCAATTTAAAATGATTTTAGTTTAAAGCAGAATCTTTTAATGAAGAGTTCTCAACTATATAATAAGACCACTAGCTTGACCTCTTTCTACCTTTGTTTGATCACTACGTTGAGATTTTTCTACCTTTAATTTGTTTCGTTTGTCATGCCCAACGCCAAGTATGCTAATTTGAGATACAATAACAATAACGACAAATAGAACAAGAATGTCTATTCTGTAGTCAATTGTCTATTTTGCGATTCTTGTTACACTCATCGTCAATAATTTCATGTACTTTTTCAATCATATCATGAATGACAACGTGACGATAATTCTTTACAAACTCTTCACCCCAGTTTTCATAGACATTATCTTCCATGACACGATAAAACTTATCATATGACATATATATCGAATCGAAAAGTTTGAGACTGAGTGATTTGTTATATATAAGATTGATCTTCAAGTTCAAATTTAATGTCTAATGTGGATATTGAAACTAAATCCAAATTAAGTGTTGGTCCTCACTAAAGTATTTAATTTTTTAAAATTGTGGTTTAATGTTCATATCAGAACATATAATTTAATTTTAATTAGCAATTAAAATTATAATAAATATATATATACGTTAAGTAACTGATAAATGTGTATAAAAAAGACGCATGTCTAAAAAACTATAATAAATATACATATTACGTAACTAATAAATGTGTATAAAAAAGACACGTGTCTTATATTTATTGATATGACGTAAACACATTTGTCAAGATAGATAACCACCTTTTCCCCTATTTTTTGGTGATGACTTGGTCTAATTCTTTTGATATAAAAATAATCGATCCGAAATAAATGTTTCAATAAAAATCACAAGATCTTTGTCACATTTTTTACTTTATCATTATGATTGTTATTAGTATTAGTATTAATTATGTCACTAATAATTCTCTAATACATGAGTGATTATCAAGAAAAACAACATGTTGCTTGCTGTGTTGATAGCCAATTCTGAGGGAAATATACTTGTTGAACGGTAACTTATTCAATAATAATTCTTTAATTAGCCTCAATATCTTATTAATTTTCTAGCTTGTTGTTCTTTCAGCTTGTTATTGTTATCTTTTTTTCATCGTTCGTTCAGTTGAATGTCTATATGAAAACAATCTCTCTATCTTTTCAACATAAGAGTAAGATCAATCTGTGTACACTCTATCCTCCTCAAACTCGTGTTTTTTTCATGCAGTTTAAATGGAGTTCCAATAGAGGAAACTCTACATTGGAGATCTTTTTTAGTTAGATTGGGAGCAGAAAATCTTAGAGGAGTAAAAAATGAGGAGCTCCTTGTAGCTTGTCACAAGTATGTATATTTTGAATTATTTTAATCTATTACCTAAGTTTATAATATAATTTAATAGATTGTTGGATTATTTATTGCTATTAACTTGTGAATTTGTTGTTCCTTCGTCTCAAAATACTTGTCGTGTTTCGCATCTCTAAAGATAATTTGATTAACTTTTGAAGTTAAATTAGATTAGATTAATTTAATATTTTAAAATTAAAACTTAGATATTCAAAAACTACACGAAAGGTACTATAAGATGCAGCTTTTCTTATATCAATATGATGGAAAATTACATTTTAAAACGTTAGTCAGAGATTATATAGTTTGACTCTCGGAAAAAAATGTGACAAGTAATTTAAGAGAAATGAAGTGTTTCATATAACGTTATTTACTCGATTTAACCAACAACATCAAGATTTAGCAATATAATACGGAGATTTGAGAACGATCGAGTGTTATAGTGGGATGAATAAAAATTCTTCATCTTTAATCATAGGTCTCGGATTTGCCCTTCAGAATGACAATGATTCTAGTAAGGAGCACTCCCCTTTTAATACCTTATACAGTGCGAATTCGAATTAGTTAGAGTTCTAAATTAAGTATCGAATATCAGATGAGAAATTAATATTAATATTTATGTTTTCACACTTCAATTTTACCTTCTTTTATTTCAGATCAGTGTATATGGTATACACTGTATTAGGAGGTGTCAGCATTTATGTGGTTGGCAAAGAAGAATATGATGAACTTGTTTGTAAGTCTATATGTTATATTATATACTTTGTACTAATTAATTTTTTGTTTTACACAAAATCAGTAGACCAAAATTCTTTTTATTTCATGTTTTTTTTTAATTATAAAGTTTATATGATAATTATTTATTTAAATATTGTGATTTTTCTTGAAGTATCTGAAGTAATATATGCTATTACTTCAATTGTGAGGGATGCATGTGGAAAGGCTCCAAGTGAACGCCTTTTTTTAGACAAGTATGGAAAAATTTGCTTGTGTTTAGATGAAATTGTTTGGAAGGTAAGTTTTCAAATCATTATATTTTGAAAAATATTGTACAAAATTTGTAGTTTGGTTTTGTTATTTTATTTATTATGATATATTGTTTTTTCGATTAATATGTTTGTTGTCAATATTTGAAGGGTTTACTTGAAAATACAGAGAAAGACAGAATCAAAAGACTTATAAGATTGAAACCACCGTCAGAGTTTTGAGTGACAACACTTTAATTTGTCTCAATTGATTACGTCTTACATGATCTCCTGTTGCTTTAGCATATGTATTTTGGATAAATGTAACACTTGAAAGTGTAATTATTAAACTTATTTCCTCCTATATATAGTTTTAGCTCAGTTATTTACATCTTGTATCTTCTAGCGCTTTAGATTTCATGTACACATTATTGACAACTCTAAATATATTTTTGTATAATGTGATTGTTATTTATCTACAAACACAAGTTACACATAAAGTGTGCATAAAAGATTATATGAGGATTTCACCAATCAAATATTTCTTAGTTTGTCTAGCTACATTATATTTAATCATCAATCTAAAAATGTGATAAAATATAAACGATATATCTCGTCTCAAACAACTATATGATTATAAAAAAATATTATGTGATTTTGTCAATTGAACAAATGCTCGTTTTTTGGATCAAATATATCGTTTATTTATGAAGAAAATAATTAAGAACTTTCTTTGAGAGAAATTAATTCGTTTGTTTAGCAGCTAATGTTGAGTTACAATTCTTGATCTTGTATGACTATCTCTAAGTTTTTTATTTAAAATTTTCATATACATTACATTGAGCTCTCTGTTAGATTGAATTTCGACATTAATAACGTTTTGTGAGTTTATTATGACCAAATTGTGTTGATTGTTGTGACCATTACGAATCGATTCACTAATAAGTGTTAAATAATTCATATTAATATCGAAACGACAACATATCTTCTAATGTCATCTCATTAAATTATATTTATCATATTAAGTTTATAAAATATTATATAACGATTTTTTGAAGAGAAATAGATAAATAAGATAATATTATGTCATCCTAAAAAAAATAAGAACAAATAAACATAAATTGCTAACACTAAACAAAATAGAGATGTTAAAACACGAATTGCAAATTCCAACTATTGATGAACTATATATATGTTCATCTATATTGGTTGATGAGAAAATCTATGTTATGTCTCACATAATCGGCAAATCGCATAAGTTTTTTGAGATAATTTTTATTATTTTGCAAGTAAGCTTTTACGTCATTTGTTTATTTAAAGAAAAAAATATACCTAAAGTTAAGCAAAATTTAATTAGGCGTCTTCATTATGACAATAACCAAATATACATTTTTATTTGACATAAATATGTCTCGTGAATACCAAAGTCTAACAATCCTCATGTGTGAGTTACAAGACCTATTTGACAATGACACTTTCAAAAAGATTTTCTCCATATTCAAGGCTCGAATCCGAAACCTTTGATTAAAAATGACGCAATTCCACCACTGTTCCGCAACCCATGTTGGTGGAATTGGAGTAGTTTAATACTTTTAGCATTTACTGAAAAATATCCTACAACTCGCTAGTTAAGCACTAAAAAATATCATTTTTACTAACGATCACTCCAAAATAAGAATTTTTTTTTAATATACTCTTAAACTATTCGAAATGAAACAATTTTATCCTAGCATTTACTTAAAAGTTTATGTTTGATTAAAAATGATTTTTCTTAATATAAACATAATTTCAATACTTGACCAATTTGGCCCTACCCATAAGAATTTCTAGACAAGCTTTTCTTTTCTTAACAGTTAACACCATCATTTAACAAGGTCAATATAAAATAAAAATCTCCTATGGAAGAGTTGTCTGTGCCTAGAAAATTATTTTGGTTGATTTTATTATAATTAAAATTAATAAATAATTAAATAATTTTACTAAGGCAGTCCTTAATTAATTTTTAATTTCATCATCATCATCTCCATCTTCCATCTACATCTCCATTTCCATTCTCCAGCTCTTCTCCTCTCTGGAGCTCCTCACCCCACCCCACCCCACCCCACTCCACCCACCCACCTACCCAGCACACCGTATCAGTCGTTTCACTGTTATTTGATCAATTTAGTTCTCGTACTGTTTCTTAGATCCGAACAATATCCTTCTCTGGTACTAATTTTTCTCTTTCAAATGCGAAATTTACACAATTTAGATTCATATTGTGAGCTATTTGAATTATCTGTATAACCCCCTTTATGCAATTTTTGCTTTTTTTGGTGATTTCGTACAGTGGAGCATATTGAGATGGGGAAATTTGATCTACTACCCATTCCTATAGACAAATCGGTGAGTTCAGTTTCTCATGTTTACCTTGAATTTTCACTGGAATTGGAGATTTCCCAGTTGGGTTTTGGGATTTTGATGAATTTAACTGGAAATTTTTAGTCTTTATGACATGCTGCAGCTTACAATTCCTTAATTAGATTAGAATATTTCTATTTTGGTAACTTGTATTGAAAGTTAGAGTACATTGGATTCATCTCTTATTTCAGTGATCATATACTCTAGAGTATTTAGCTTATATGGGGTTTTTCTTTTCTTTTATTTGAAATTTGGGTAATTTCTGCAACATTTCTTTGATCATATGCACTGTGCAGTGGCGGAGTCAGAAATTTTATTAAGGGTGGTCAAGAATAGTGGTGCGTGGCCGTCAAAATAATAAAAAAAAATATTGTTCTATTTGGGATTCAAACCCGGAACTCCCTCATTCAAATGGACACCTATTACCACTACGCCAAAGACATAACTTTAGTTAAGGGTGTCTAACTTTAATGTAGAATTTGACATATATATACAATGTAATTTTTCAACGACCTGTGGTAGCTGTAGCTACGTCCCTGGCTATGTGGACTGTAGTGAATTCTTCCTAATTTGGTAACTTTTAATGAAACTTATAGTAATTGTGGTTTATATGTTATGATACTCTTGGGATATTTCTGTGGCGTGCTTTTTAGTAAGTAGCTTATGGTCTTCCTATTAGTAATTTATTCTGAAATATATATTAATTGGGTTGTATCTATTACTAAATCTTGGGTTATTTCTGTAGCATTTGTTTGATCATATGTTTTGCGGTAATTGCAGTACTTAAGGGAGGAACTTGCTAGAGTAGATGAAGACTGGGCTGCCGCTCGGTTTGATTCACTGCCTCACGTTGTTCGTATATTAACCTCGAAAGATCGTGAAGGTGATGTCCATGTCTTAAAGGAGCAGAGTGAAATTATTGAGGAAGTTGTGGATGAAGTCGTGCATGCCTACCATGGTGGCTTCAATAAAGCTATTCAAAATTATTCTCAGGTGTCTTTTTACATTGTCCCTTATTTGTTGATTTTGTTCAGTAGTGAATTTCCTAGATATGCAAATTTCTAGTTTCAAGCAAATGTTTATTTATGTGAACTGTCCTAGAAAGAGATACGCGCACTCGTTTCTGATTTTTGCTTTGGTATCTTTTCATGGATCTATACATTGAGGTATCGAAAAAGATATGAACAGGGAAAGAAAGCTAACTAGTGCAGATACATAAGATCCCGTCATCTTTACTTTCCTCATATTTATGGTGCAGTCAATGACACGTATAGATAATGTAATTGATTTTGTCGATTAGGACTCCTGCCCAGTGCTTGAATCCTGCATACAGGGTTTCTTTTATCACTTTTCTTTTTGTCAATAGAAATTACTTTTGTTTCTAGAAAACAATCGTAAAGAAGAAAAAATTGAAGCAGTGAGTTTGACATTAGCCCTTCCTTGGGCCAAAAAAGGAAAGAAAATTAAAGAATACAATAACCAAAAAAATTGTTTTCTGTGATAAAGTAGTAATTTATTGATATACTAAAATGAAAGATATAGAAGAATTCCAAAAACACTAACCATATATCCATTACTTATGAAACTTGAAGATAATTTTTCCTCAATATGTCTATTAAAAAGTAAAATTCATTGGTTTGCTGTTCTCATCTCTAACCAATGCTGGCTGCCAACATACTTTTGAGCTTGGAACAAGGAGTAACTGTTCCTAATAAAAAGAAAAGAGAAACAAGAAAATGTTTGTAGAACCATATGCTAGAATAGTTCATTACAATTTTTTCATTCTTGCCCTCACCATGGTGAGAGACTGAGAGTTATATATATTTTGACTAGCATTGTTCTTGGAGAATATAGGTAAAAGGACACTCTTAATTATTTTATAAGGTTTAGTTATCAGTCTTTGAATGTCAGCATACCTTTTTATGCGTTATCGCATTGTCAGGGAACTGTTCTCCGGTTTGCCGCCAGGGTAAAAATTGCAATGGGTGATGCAGCTTTATCTATTTAAGCAGTTACAGGACACAAGACTGCTTGGCCCAGAACATGTTTATTCATTGACCATCCTTTAACATTTATTATTTTGAGATTCACTTTGAAGAACCTTGAACTCTGATTCTCTAATGTACAGTGACTTACTCTTTTCTTGAACAGAAAAACCCTTGTGCTCTGATTTAGCTGTTAGGCTATATAAAACAGTAACCTCTTTTTGTATTCTATATACCTTTGATCGATATGTAAATCATGTTAGGCTATATAAAACAGTAACCTCTTTTTGTATTCTATATACCTTTGATCGATATGTTTTCTCTTGGCATAGAGTTGCACTTTCAACTCAGTTAACAACCTAATGCTAGTTGGAGAGGTCTCTGTTTTAGATCCTAGACAAAAAATCAGGTGCTTAGTGATAGATGTCGTCTCTTCTATTTGTTACTTAATTTGGTGAGTCTTTTTTTTTTTGGATGAAGTAAGAAGAAAAATGCAAAAGTTAAACCAACCTAAATATGTTGTTAAGTTCACAAAGTCTGAAACCAATTGAATTGGGTTACCTCTTCTATGTGGTTTGCGAGCTATTGCATAGGAACGGGGGTTTTACCCTGTGCGCACCCAAAGAGTAGCGGCTGCAGGTTTCCCTTGTCATAAAAAAAGAAGAAGTCTGAAACCAATTGAATTTAAGCTGGTCTTTCTGAAATTCAAAGGTCTTATTACAGTTCCACTATAGCTGTTATGTGAAATAAAAAATGACTTAGAGCGTTTGAGTTAGCTGATTGTAAATGACCGATTTTCAAGTGCCGAAAGTGCCCGAAACTTATTTTATAATAAACAGTTACGTGTTTGGATAGAAG